GATGAGTCTCCTTTATCTTGTATCATCGGGAGCTTTCCAGGTACATGACTTGAATCTCCCTCCTCCATGCTTTCAACTCTATCTGTTAGCTTGGCAATTTGATTATCTTGATCTTGCATATGCTTCGTTAACCCTTCAATTGCCTTTGTTAAATTTGCGAGTTGTTCTTCAATAGTTGAGGTACTAGTCATCATTGCTTGGATAACCGTCGTGGATGGTGGAGCAAAGCACGGATTTTCTCTTACACCATACTTTGAGTGGAACAACTCACGTGGAGTACTTGGAGCAGATCCGGTGATCAAGACATCATCATCGCCCTGTGTGATGAGATTCTTAGATCTAGAAGGGCTAAGTAGAGCCAATGTCTTTTTAACAATTTCAACAATGTTTGCTCCTTCTTCCAATTTAGTTGGAAATGAACTTGCCCCCTTTGAGGATTGAAAATCAAAGATAGGAACCGATGCAGATGGCATTTGAAATGCTTTTTGTCCCAACAAGTTTGCTTTGTTCCTAGTGACAGGTCCTACGCTTTCCATAGTAGCATCCAACAAGTTTTCCACATCATATGAAAACTTGGAATCCGTGGCCTTAGCAGTAGTGAGTTTGAAGTTGATCTTCTTAGGAGCCATTTCTGTGTTCTTGAAATTTGGTAATTTGAAAAGATGAGAGGTAGAGATGGTCCCACTGGGCGTGCTAGAAATTTGTAACAACAAATTTTCGCGTCGAGAAAAATAAATAATCAAGACTAGAAAATTGCGTAAAAAATGTAGTATTTGATTTCAATAAATGAAAGTGTTACAATCTCTATGGTATTCCTCTAATTCTTCAAGAATGTAAAGTATCTTAATGAGCTTGACTTTGATTTGATTTAAGGGCTTGTAAAGCTTGATCTTGAATCTCCTCCTTGAACTTGAATTTGTGTTTGATCACGAACAAGTAATTTGATCTTGAATGCCTTGGTATTTGATTTGGCTTCGTTCTTGAACTTGAACTTGTAGCTTGAGTGCTTGAACTTGTAGCTTGTAGAGAAATCTACGATGTCTGATCCACGAGCTCTCTTTGCTTCTTGTTATCACTTCTGGTGTCTTCTAGCTTTATGAAGACCTCTATTTATAGTTGTAGGGGTGATGTGGCTCTGTGATTTGATTGGTCCGTTTGAACTGACCAATACCAGCCAAATGTTTAATTGGCTCATTTATTTGGCTTGGATTGCCACATTACTTGACACATAACATGATTTCATTGGCTCATTTATTTGTCTTGGATTGCCACATCACTTGACACATGTCATGATTTCATTGGTTCACTTATTTTGCTTGGATTGCCACATCACTTGACACGTCGCATGATAGTATTGGCTTGTTCTTTTGACTTGGATTGCCACTCACTTGACACGTGGCATGAGCCTGAGCTTTAAGATGGGCTAATAGCCATTTGGACCTTGGGATACTGAACTGGGCTTATCATTTAATTTATAGTCCAATTAAATGGACTAGCCCAACACATGTATTGGATTTAAATAATTAGCCCAATTTACTAGCCACAATATTTGTTTGGACTAATATCTTTAATTTAATACGGTCCAAATTATTTTGTAGATTTAAATCCAATAAAATTTAAATGCTTACAGAGGCAACGCAGCTTTACTGCTTTCTTTTATTTTTGCTTTTTTTATTGTATTATTTTTGTAGTGTTGTTTTATTTTGTATGATTTTGATCATAGGGAGCAAAGCCATAGGAAGCGTGCAAGTGAGCCATATGGTTGAAATTGAGTGTGAGGTACCCACACAAAGGATCATACCTGGGAGAGTTTGAGTATCCCATGAGCTGCTAATTCTTCGGCCTTTGGCCTACCAGGGAGTCTCTTTTACCCTTTTATTATTTATAGTGTGTATTGAGGACATTGCACAATTTTAAGTGTGGGGTGAGGAGATTGTCTAGTTGATTTTCTGTGCTATCTTAGCTTAGTTGTAGTACTCGTCAAAAAAAAAATATTTGGACTTTTCCCGACGATGGATCTCCTAGACAGTTTTCTTGAGGGATTTAAGTCTAAAGAAAAAGGACAAAAAGATTTTCTTTGTAGGTAGTGTAGCAATTCCCCCTTGATTTTTCTTTGTGTCGCGGTTCTTTTCCAAAGGTTTTGTTTGAACCGGGTGTAGTTAGTTTTTATTTTTTTAGAAGTAGCAAACCTTGTGCTATGTTTTGAATTGAAGCAATATCTCTTGACTTTGTTATGCCTTGAGAATAATGAGTACTTTAGTTGTGACGCTTAGGCTCAGTTTTTGACTCTTGTATAAGTACCTTAAATTGTACGATCTTAACTTTGCTTAACTTCTTTGACTAGATTGTCTTGATGAGTCCAATCCTAAGTGAGTTATGTGCCATGTGTGTGTAAGGTTTTGTGTTATTCCGTGCATTGCATTTGATGTCTAGAACTTGCCCCGTGTGTTTGCAAAGCGAAATAGTAGTTTTGTTCAATCAATCTTGGAAGTGATAGGCATTTCTTTGTTGAGCCATATATATATTTTACCCACCTAATTGTTATGTATCATAGTTAACCTCTTTGAGCCTGTAATCCTGTTTCTTTGGAAACCACATTACAAGCCTTACCCATTTGTTTGAATTAACTATCTATTTGAACCTTTTCACCTCTCATGAGCACTTGAATTATTATGAACTTTGTAAAAGTTAAAGTGCGAGGTGGTTGGTTTGGCTTTTGAGTAGAACTAATGAAATAAGGAGAAAGGTGCAGTGTTTTGAAAAAAAAAAAGTAAGAGCCACTTGAAAAGAGAAAATAAAAATAAAAATAATAGTTGTATTGTTGTGCAAATATTCTTTGATAGTGGTGACTCTTGATGTAATTGTGCTTAAAGATGTGGGGAGTCAATATATATATTAATGTGAGGGTGGAGTTATGGTTTGACATAAGTATGAGGTTTTAAATGTTAAAGTGTATGTATTAAAGTTCTTAGGGAGGTATCGTCACTATTATATCTAAATGTATCCTATCTGACCCGCAACCTACATTACAACCAAATAAAGTCCTACTTGATCCTAGACTGAATGAGCTCAATTAGTAGAGCAGTACACTACGGGCAAGTCTATGGTGCATCTTTTGTGGCATATGAATGTTATTTCTGAGAGTGAGTGAATTCTTTCTATCTTGAGTTCCTAAGTGTTCTTAAATTTTATTATGTGGAACTACTTTCTTTTGTTGTGTGAGGGCACTTGATTCATGAAGGAAATGTAATTTCAGTGACCTCTATGTTAGAGTAAGTGGGTGAGTTGTGAATAATGCGTGGTACTTGTGAGTCAAATCTTGAGGTGAGGATGTTACACTTTTGTACTTAATCTATTTTAAATATTCTTGGTGTGATGAGTTAGGAGAATTGTTTAAAAAGGTTGTGTCTATATAAAGTGTAGTTTGATTGGTCGGGGACGATTAATGGTTTAAGTGTGGAGTGTTGATGATAGGCTATAATTGCGTATTTTAGTCGCTTATTACACTCTAATTTACTGCACTTTAATTGAGTTTGAGCTTTAATCGCTAGCGTTTTGCACTAAATATGTGTTTTATGCACTGTAGGATTAATTTCGATCTATGTAGGCATTATGGAATGAAATCGATTGATTTAGAGCTTTGAATTCTGAGTGAAAGACCAAGGAATCAAGCCGTGTTCGGGGATCAACAGATGATAGTTAAGAAGGATACAGAGAATCGAGCGGGCATACAACGTATTGTCTAGTAAAATACACCTAAATTTTCGCTCATATCTTCGTTTGGGCTCCACAATATATCGTTGGAAAGCTATTTGAAAGAGCTACAACTTTCATGTTTTACATTTTCGCAAATTCCAATTACTGCGGCACATGGGGCGCCGAAGGGTGCGGCGCAGCAGTGTAAAAGCTGGCCTGAAAAGAAAATGCAAGGCTGCTGATAATCTCCACTAGCGTGCCGCAGGGTGCGGCGCACCTGTACAAAATTTATAGAGCCAGAGTCCTATTTTGTGCAGGAAAGAGTGTTTCGTGTAGGTCCGACCCTACTTGGTATAAATATATATAAAAATGTTATTTTTGGGACTTTTGACACATCTTAGACCTAGGGAGAGCACAGAGCCGTTGTGGAGGTCGAGTTTCATCTTTTCTTCCACCAAACTTAGTAATTTTTATGTTTCTTTGTATGATTTGTTGTTTGGCTATCATGTCTATGTGGAGCTAAACTTCACGTTCTAATAGGGTTGTGGTTCTTTCACGACTATTGTTATTCAAATATTGATTTTGATTTCTTAGTTTATCTTATTGGTTTATTTATTCAATCCTGCGCTTAATTATTTAATTGCTTGATCACCAATTGAATGCTAAAATTGAACTCGAAAGTGATAATTCTAGATTGCATATATGATTGAGTAGAATAAGTTCTTGAACCTGGACATCGGGGAACAGATTCGAGGTTAGGATAGACATATACCTAATTGTCTTGCTCGGTTGATTTACAGGAATTATAAATGTGTTCTTGTTAGTTCTAACTCCATAGACATATAGGCGTTAGGTTATCTTGAATAGGCGAGTAAGAACTCGACAGATTCTTATGAGCAATATTAACCCTATTAACCAATAAACTAGATAAATTAGTTAGTCAATTTAATTGAAGAATACAATAGGAATGTTAGATAGTCCATGACCCTAGATCGTTTTCATAACATTGATAATATAAAAATTTGTTATTCCTTTGTTCAAAGTTCATTGTTTATATTTCTTTATTTAATTAGTTTAGCATCAAATACTTCTAGGCTAATCCTTGTTTAGATAGTTAGGAAAGTCTAATTTAGTTAATAGTTAATCACAAGTTCTTGTGGGTTCGATATCCGATTTCTAATCATTTTATTACTTGACGACCACGTATACTAGCATGTGTGTTTGGCAGCAACAAAATGCCACAATATTAGTCAATATTTACTGCTAATGAAGGAAATTTTCTTACTTTATGGAGTATTGTTTAATCCGGAATTAAACACTACTATGAAAGTTGTCTCCTCTAGAACCCTACCAATCTCTCCCCTTTCTTCAACCCCAATTCACGATGCCCCCGTTTTATGTTCGCGGTCGCCGTGAAATAGTGTGATGCGGAGAATTGAAAGGGGAAACTACCGGGGTGTTAGATTGCCCTAGAACTCTAAACATGACAGAAGGTCACCAAAATTTAGGCCGCCTTTTATAAACAATCGACTGCCATTTTTAATCTATTCTATGTAATTCTCAAATATCTGGTCGAAGATATTAAGATTTTGGTAAGTGTTTTTCCGTTCTAATCTGTTGTTCGCTGGATTGAATTTTTAGTTAACTGCCTTTAAAATTGTTGCTACCTTTTCTCTTATTTGCTTCGTATTCTGTTCATATCAACTGTTTGAACAAATGCTTTAGAGGATTAAATAAAAATTTAATGGGCTGGCTTTATTTTATTAACATGAGGTTAAAGCTTGCACTTTCTTTGATTCATCTTTTCATGTTGAAATGATTTTATACTAGTAGAGATGAGATTATTAACATTATTTGGCTGTTCAATTATTCTTACTGCTATAAAACCTTGAATCCATTTACTAATGCATCGAACGATGCAAAAGATAATAAATTAAATTATAGGACTATTTTTGCTTCAACTAGATAGTTTATTTGATATTTGTTATAACAAACTACTCTATATTGAGCCAATGAAATGGCACTCTGTAATCTAATTTATTTGTTTCTCTATAAAAGAGAAAATAACTGAATATTAAATTGATTTGAAATGTCTGATAAGATATAGATTACTAGTTTAATCTCGATCTTGGTATTTTTGACATGTTAAAACTTTTTTAACGTGTTGAACCTTTTAAATTACTGAATCATGTGATGCTGGTTCCAACAGAAGGATATTATATAGTAACTTGTCTTATGTTAGAGTTATTGCGGTTGTGTTTCATGGTGACTCTAATCCAAACAGCACGACAAATTAGATCGGAAAAGAATCTTGTAGATACTTGTTTGCGATGCTTGACCGGAAAAGAAGCTTGTAGATGTTTGTGAAAGGAAGGTAAATGACCATTACGATTATGTGTTTGATGATTTAGATTGTGGATGGTGTAGGGTATCTTGTAAATATCAGCTTTATTGACAAGTTGGATAAGGAACATTGATGTTAGGACTGAAATTGATCAATCATTCTGTTGAATTCAAGAGTAGAGAAGGAATTAGTAAGCATGTACAATGATACTAGAGATTGTTAGTTCCTTTCTACACTGTTAGGAGTTTCGGGTTCAAATATCTTGAGCTTTCTGCAAAATTATTATTATTTGCCACAAGTTGATTAAAATATCCATTTTGTCAAGGTGATGTTGATATCGTTTCTTTCTACATATGATACTTTAACACTGGAAACTAATACTTTTCATGTTATTTCTCTTTGATTTAGCTTATAGAAAGCATTATCCACCATTCTCGGGACAATGAAAATATGGCAATTAGAAAAAGATTGCAAGAGATGTTGTTCACCTAAACGGCTGCCTGAGAAGGGTACATCATCTGTGAAACACTTCCTACAGTTATATGTAACTCCATCTCTATTAGTGGAATAATCTTTTCCATAGCTAACGATGGTGAATTGATTTAGTTCTCTTAAGCTTGTACTATTGAATGTGGTTTTATGTTTTTTTGCAGATAGTAGCAGTCGCATGGCTCCTGTACTTCTTCAAGATATTATATGAGGTACAATCACTTTTTTTTTTTGGCTACTTGGTAGTTTTCCTAAATCAGTTTAGTAATGGTTCTTTTCTTTTTTTATTTCAGTTCTTGGAAGAAGAGTTAAGAGGAATGTGAGAGCAACTAATTCAGAGGAATCCTGGACTTGAGGAAAACATGAACACTAAATCTAAAACTATTACCAGTGTTCTTTTGGAACTTTCAAGGGAAAGTTTACGTAATTGAATGTTGAAGTAACTCTGTATTTGATTCATATTGTTTGTACTGTATCGGGAATTAAAGTATTGGAATGAGAGTCGATGTTACTTTGAATACATTATTGTTAATTAATTATTTTCTTTTAATATATTAATATCTTTGATTTAATATTTAGCCATGACCAAATTGTTTTCACATTCATATTAAAAGTCGAAAACTATAAAAAAATTCCGACATTTATATATATGTCGCAAACAAGATAGGTTAAGAACTCAAATTATTGACATTTGATAATATCATAACTAAATGTCACAAATTATTTGATGACATTAATTTAAATGTCGGGAATAAAAACAACATTGAAATTTCCGACATTTGATTTAAATGTACAATAAATGTCGGTAAGTGATTTTCTGACACTCAAGTGACTTGCGCCGACATTTATAAAATGTCGTTGTATGTCATATTTCTTGTAGTGATTTGGAGTGAAATATTTGAGTGGTGTTTGAAGGCTCTCTCTCTATATATAAACACACACATTATAACCGTGCTGTCCGAGCCTTGCTTGTGTGCACCTCGACTAATTTTATGGGATACTTATCATGTAACACGTAAGGCTTGGACAAATGGGAAAAAACCACCTAATATTTTAATTTTTCCTGGTTGTGATATTATTTCGAGCTTTGACATGTTGTAATAGGTGGAGAAGAAAAAGAGATGATGTTTTTATATGTTGACTTTGTCTTGCATAATAAGAATGAGATGAGAAGGCAAAGGGCAAATTCAAACCAAAGCAAATGATGAAACTGCCAATAACGTCTCACACGTATAGTGCATATACTAAATAGACCAAATCCAACATACAACACAAATATATACGTAAATAGTTTGTTACAAATTTCCATCTTCCTCTCCCCTTCCTCTTCCTCCATTTCACCTTTCAGCTCCCTTTTTGGCGTTCATTCTCTCTTTGAGGTCAGTTTATGCATCTTCATTTGTGCTACATCCTTTACTTTGAGCATGTATTTTTCTTGAACAAAAAATCTAAATACATTTTATGCTTTCATGCAATATTGTTACAAAACAAATTCTAACATCTTTTTTTTTTGTTTGTATCAGTCAGATCTCTGAGGGATCATCCAAACAATTGGCGATCCATGGATTTCTTTGATAAATTAAAGAATTGGATATTGGTTTATAGCTTGTTTCTTCAATGCGCTCGTGGATTTTATTTACCTGGTAGTTTCCCACACAAATATAATATTGGTGATCAATTATCCGTTAAAGTGAATTCCTTGACATCAATTGATACAGAAATACCTTATGGATATTATAGCTTACCTTTTTGTAAACCTTTAGAAGGTGTTAAGGATAGTGCTGAAAATTTAGGTGAGCTTCTTATGGGAGACAGAATTGAAAACTCACCTTATAGATTCAAGATGCACGTAAACGAAAGTGAAATATTTTTGTGTCAAACAAATGCATTATCAGCTGATGAATTCAAGGTTTTGAAAGAAAGGATTGATGAAATGTATCAAGTGAATCTGATTCTTGATAATCTTCCTGCAATTCGGTATATGAACAAAGATGGTTATTTTCTCAGGTGGACGGGTTATCCGGTTGGTATTAAGGTTAAGGATGTGTATTATGTGTTCAACCATTTGAAATTCACTGTGTTAGTTCACAAGTATGAGAAGAGTACTGTGCCAGGTGTGATTGGAGATGGAGATGGTGCTGAGTTAATTACAACGGACGATAAGTCTATCACAGATACACCAAGTTATATGGTTGTTGGATTTGAAGTTGTCCCCTGTAGTTTTCAACATACCACAGATTTGCTTAAGAATCTAAAACCATATGATAAGTTTCCTTCACCAATTAATTGTGACCCGGCAACAGTAGCCGTGATGATTCAAGAAGGCAAACCATTGGTATTTAGTTATGAGGTAAACTTTGTGGAGAGTGATATTAAGTGGCCATCAAGATGGGATGCATATTTGAAAATGGAAGGTTCAAAAGTTCATTGGTTTTCGATTCTTAATTCGATGATGGTTATAACATTCCTAGCAGGAATAGTGTTGATTATTTTCTTGAGGACTATTCGAAGAGATCTCGCTCGATATGAAGAGCTTGATAAAGAGGCTCAGGTTCAAATAAATGAGGAATTATCAGGATGGAAACTTGTTGTTGGCGATGTCTTTAGAGTTCCAGAGAACTCGACACTCCTTAGTATGATGGTTGCTGATGGATGTCGTATTTTAGGAATGGCAGTCGTGACAATATTATTCGCGGCTCTTGGATTTATGTCTCCAGCCTCTCGCGGCACACTTATTACTGGCATGCTTTTGTTCTATATGTTCTTAGGTATAATTGCTGGTTATGTTGCTGTTTGGCTTTTGAAGACACTGAATGCTGGTAATACCAATGGATGGTTTTCAATTTCCTGGAGAGTTTCTTTCTTCTTTCCTGGAATTGCATTTCTTATACTAACTGTTCTGAATTTCCTCTTATGGGGAAGTCATAGCACTGGTGCAATTCCTTTCACTACATACATTGTTCTGTTATTACTGTGGTTTTGCATTTCTATGCCTCTTACACTCATAGGTGGATATATTGGAACACAGGCTCCACATCTCGAGTATCCTTGTCGTAGCAATCAAATTCCTCGCGAAATCCCAGCAAATAGATTTCCTACTTGGTTGCTGGTAATTGGAGCAGGAACACTTCCATTTGGAACTCTATTCATTGAACTCTTCTTCATCATGTCTAGCATATGGCTCGGTCGTGTTTACTATGTGTTTGGGTTTCTATTGGTGGTACTGATCCTACTAGTGGTGGTTTGTGCTGAAGTTTCTTTGGTCTTGACTTACATGCATTTGTGTATGGAAGATTGGAGATGGTGGTGGAAATCATACTTTGCATCTGGCTCTGTCGCGATCTACATATTCTTCTACTCCATCAACTATCTTGTTTTCGATCTCAAGAGCCTCAGTGGACCTGTCTCGGCCATGCTCTACTTAGGTTACTCGCTTTTAATGGCTCTTGCTGTTATGCTAGCAACTGGAGCTATAGGTTTCTTGACGTCTTTCTTCTTCCTGCATCGTCTCTTCTCTTCAGTAAAAATTGACTGAAGTGACAGACTTGAGTTCCATTTTCAAGGTTTTTGCTCATGACATGAAGATCAAGTGGACACCAGAATTAACTATTTGCAAATTTTGCTAGCTTTATAGCTCTGTTTCCAATATGTTGTCATTACTGTTTCATACATTTGAAAGGTTTCTGAAATTTTTTGAGAGCGTGTATGAAGTAAGTTTCATACTAGCAATAATATATAGGAATTTGCAGGCACAACACATGACTTTTTGCAAAACATCTTTTAATGAACAGTTGAACACTTTCTTCCTAAGGGGCTGATGCATATAAGTCTCCACTAGAGTTTGTTGTTTCATTGCATATTCTTATGTGTTAGTTAATCATTAGTTTAATTGTAAATTTTCGCTTCTTTACCTGATTAACCTTTAAATCGTCATTGTTTTCCTTAGTTCTTATGTTAAACTTGACTAATTTCATTTCATTTGCGAATAATTCAATTGCATGTGGTATACTATATTCGATCAACAATAGTTTCTACAATTGTATTAGATCTTCACAACCATTATATATAAACATGTTAATTCTTTTTTTATCTTAAAGAATTTATTAGCTATACTTTCTATGCGGATTAAATTCTAATATGCATTGTGGCAAAGCTATTAGTAGAATGAACTATGCACATTTCTTTTGGTATATAAGATCCCATGAGAATTGAGATTGAGAGATGGATATTGCATAAAATACTGAAGGAAAGAACCATGATTTCAAGAGTAGAGTCCTTACATTTGATACTCATTGCCCTCTTTTGCTATTTTCTTTGCGTTCTACTATGTAATTAAAAAATTTTGAAAAAACTTCTTAACGTTAATTTTAGGAATGTGATATTGTTAGATTTTATTTTAATATACAACCACATATGTAATTTAATACGTTATATACCTAACATGCACGTTTTATTACCAAATTTCAAATAATGCTTTAACTGATTTGACTAGGGTGGCTATAGTGTTCGTATCTCCAAAGTTCAGAGGGCAAACTAAAAACCCCAAAATTTTCCGGTACAGAGGTGAAATGCGTTTTCAGGTTAGGGATAACCGAATAATTTATATATATTATATTAAAAGCACGAAGGCCCTTAGCGAAATATCGTTCACCTTTTTTACCCTTTAAAACGTAAAGTTCCCATTAGACAATATAGTAATTTAAGTATTATAAGATTTTTTGGTAAATTTTGGTAAATAATCTTGAATTACTTGCTATTAAACTTTGCCTTAATTATTTGTGTTAAATTTTCTTCACGTTTCTTATACAAGGAAACTTAATAAAAGAAATTCCTAATTTTCACTCTCATTAAATGACACTATCTCATTAAATTTGTTAGATTCCTTTTACTCTTTGGAGGATTAAATGAGTTATTATGTTTGCCTTAATTATTTGGTAAAAGTTTTCTTCACGAGTGTTACACAAGGAAAGTTTGGACTTGGGACTTAGATAGATTCCCTTTACATTTGGGACTTGGTAAAAGTTGGGACTTTGGTACACAAGGAAAGTTGGAGTATTAAATGTGCCTTAATATTTGGTAAAAATTTCTTCATGTTGGTTACACAAGGAAAGTTTGGACTTGGTTAAAATTCCTTCACGTTACCACTTATATTTTGTTAGAAGTCTTTATTATTTGGTAAATTTTTCTTGTCTTTTTGACCTATACACAAATTTACTTTAAATAATTCCTTTCATGTATCAAATTGTGTACCATAATACTTCTATAAAAGAAGCTACGATGTCACAATTTAATCGTCAAACTTCGCCCTATTCCAACATCACGATCTCGGGTTTTGTTTCTTTTACTAATATCAATATCTTTTGCTACTTTATATTTTGCAAGCACGTTTGCATGCACCGATTTTTAGTGTTGCATCAAGAAATTATCTTTAGTGTTGCATCAAAAAGTTTTTATTATATAATGTTTTGTTTCATATTTTGGACTTGGCTAATTTCAAATCTCACGTAACTTATATTTTTA